TTGACACGACCATTGAATGTGAAAGTGCATGTGTGTGTGTGTGTCTTTAACAAGCTTTGTGGTGGTAAGGAATATATATATGAGTGCTGCATTGCCAAGGCAGGATGCATACTTCCTGGTTTGGAGCTCTTTGAGAGTACGCTGAGGCATGTATCACAGATGTTCTCAGTTCATATCGTAGCACCATAGAAACGGCATCTAGCTGATGACATATTTTTTCTTCTAAAATGTGGATACTACATAGATGATTAGCGGATGTACACGGAGTGGCGTTATAATGCTCTTTCCCGAGCTCTTGTTCAACATTTCTCTCTTTCAACCCTCTGGGTTTCTGCTCGTTAGGGAATTGGCCGAACATTAAAAGTTTTCCCTTTAATTATGTTCTCTTGCTTTTTTCTCATTTTTTAAGGACTGGGGCAAGACAACGGGGATGGCAGAGAATAAGGACAGAAAGGATGTACTGTGCTACACTTGTGCGTTGCGGATGTCCATCATGCACCAGGTGCCCCCCCTTTACCGCCGTTGGAGTTAGGCCGCCGTCGGTGTGGGGACCCTGAAGGTGAGCTTCACGGCGACATTGTACCGTTTGTTGATGAGGATTACCATCCGCACTTTTCCATTGTCTACGAAACACCAACGAGTGCTTTGCGTTTTTTTGAATCATCAACGGAAATTGGAAGTGATGGCATTGGATGCCGACACTTGAATTGTCTCTGCTGTGCGTGCCTGGGGCTGTATCAATTTCTGGATTATGTGTACGCACCGGCGGTAGCTGCGGCTGTCCGTAGCAGCCCATACATTGATTCTGATCGTCTCTCAGTCAACGTCATTGTGCACCGGAGCATGTCGTTCCTGTGGCTGGCGGTGTCCACTGTGTTTTATGGCGTTGCAGGGCGTGAGTGTGAACGGCCCAATCGCTCTGCGGTGATACCGGAGGAACACAGTAGCTTTAAGGAGTTCTTTATGAGCGATCTACGTGCCCGCGTTCTACAGTACACAATGCACCCCCATTCCGAGTTAGCGGGTGGGAAGACCCCTTCTGGTTACCAGACGTATTTGCGGCAAATCAAACGCTGGGCGGATGAGGAGAATGAGGGGGAAGGGGCTCTGCAACCTCGGGCGGCTCAGGCATTCAACTACAGCCCTGGAAATGTGAATAAAGCTTAAGACGACTAAGGTGTATATGGCACACCTTTGTACATGTCACCCGAGAGCTGTCGTGGGAAGCCGTTTTTACCTGGAAACGATGTGTGGTCTGTGGGNCGGCAAATCAAACGCTGGGCGGATGAGGAGAATGAGGGGGAAGGGGCTCTGCAACCTCGGGCGGCTCAGGCATTCAACTACAGCCCTGAAAATGAAGGTGTGATCGTGGATGTGATGGCGGAACACCATCGGGTGAAAGAGCTGACGGATGGGAACGCGGTTCCGCCGCAGTATTGTAGTAATCGGTGCGATGGTGTATTGACTTACAGTGTTATTTATGATTATGTGGTGCCGTATTTGAGGAAAAACGGGTGCTGGTCTGCTGACAGGTGCGTAATATCAGGTGGGGTGGAGGTGTCTGGGGCGGAAGCATCGTTTTCGACCTGCTTTTCGCTATTTAACGACACCGCCTCTGTGTCGTGCGCTTTGCAGCACTGCAATATTATGCTAATTGGAAATTACCGCAAGATGAAGAGAGATCTTTCTCAGTCTCCGTGGTTTACGAATGGGCAACGCGTCGGCTCGTTTTCCTTGCAGGAGGTAATTATAAATCCGATTCTTAGCTTTTTCTTTCCTGAAGGTGTCACACCAATTCTTGGGAAGAGAGAGGCGAACGAGTTTGGTGGCCAGTGTGAAAAGCGATCCAGGTTGGAGAAGACGCATTCACAAAGGCAGTTTGTAAATGAGTCTAATGATAATCCGCACCGAATGGCGTCACAGCATGTTTTCGGATATGGACGATACAAATTTCACAGCGCTGGTCGTGAAGACGTGGACGTACGTATGCTTGGAAGTGGGAGACCGTTTGTGCTGGAGATTATCTCTCCCAGTCGTCAGCGAGTAACGCCAGAAGATTTGGCAGCGTTTGAAGAGACAGTAAACAAAAGTGAAGGAGGAGATGTAGAGATATCTCAATTGCGTCTCACTGACCTAGACATTACCGTGCGACTGGCACGACACTCGCAGAACAAGGTCAAGATGTACCGCTGTGTTGTGTGGTGTAGCAGGGCGATAACAGATCCTGGCCAGGACGATTGCTTTAAGGCGACTAATTCTGTGCGAGACCTCGTTATTGAACAACGCACACCCGTTAGGGTGCTGCATCGACGATCTCTGCAGGTTCGTCCTCGTACGATTCACTCAATACGATTGACTCCGTTGAACGCGCATTGGTTTGTGATGGACGTGGAGACACAAGCTGGCACGTACGTGAAAGAGTTTGTTCATGGTGACATGGGGAGGACGACACCGCATCTAGGCATGCTGATGAATGGAAGGACGGACATAATCCAGCTGGATGTGCTGGACATGGCAATGGAAGACCTTTAGTGGGTTCTGGGATGATTGTGTCCCGTGTGCATATGCACAAGATAAAAATATGCTAACGTGAACAGTTGCATAGTGCTAACCACATCCTTCGAAGGCTTTTTTTTACGGAGGCCGCTTTTGGCGTTTCGCCACAACTCCACCAGCTACACATTGCACCCCTTTTCTCTCCTTATGGTGCTTATAATTAATACAGAAGGGGGCAGAAGCACCAAACATTTAGACATATCTGGAAAACATGGGAGATAACTGGCACACGGGCTGAGTGATAGGCTCTTAGAGAGGTTGGTATGAGAGGCCGTTCAATGACCAAAGTTGTTCTCTCTGGCATTGATGCCCTTTCCCACCAAAGGAGGAGCGTCACCGGAACCTTCGATAGTTTGTGCCTCATGTTGAGAGTTTGGGGTGAAAGATACGTGTTCCAGTGCATGCTCATGTCGGCGAGCGCAAACCAATTCGTTTCATGCTCAGTGTGGTTTCTTGACGATAAGTGATATGTGTGTCAGCATAGCCTTTCAAATTTCCGTACAGCATACGATTTTTTTTTTTTGCCTAAGAAGGCGAGTTACATAGGAGGTAAACTGAATGGTCGAAATAACAGAGCTGTGTATAACAAAGATGCGTAGAACGATGTACACGCCTTTTCGGTAACTTTTTTTTCTTGAGGAGTGGGCTGGAGGGCTAAAAAGGTTGTCCGATTAGTCAGGAAAAGTGCAAGCAAGCAATATATGCACCATTTACCCTTGCGTCTGTTCCTATTGGTGGCCCTTTCGGTGCTTGCGTTGGCGCGTGGAGTAAAGTGCAATGATGATGTGTCCGAAGAGTATACCTTCACGGGCCTCCGAGGAGAGGTAATATCACTCATATTCCCCCTTGGAGATTCCGTGTATGTGTTGTTTCCGAAACTTCCAGCAAACGGCGCGCTTCATGTTGGAAAGGAGAAGGTTGAGTTAAACGAGCAATACCGTGTTGCATCGCTAATAACATACCGTTCGGCTCCGTCATTCCCACCGGATGGAGAGGAAGACGCGGAGGAGGTCTTTCCCATTCGCTTGTTTTCACAGGAGAATTCTATTGGGAAGACGCAAACCCTGCGCATAGTCGTAGAGAACAAAAAGCTTGTCACACCTGGTGCGCGGCTAACCATGATTGATCCCAACACGACCCAAATACTCGAGCTTCCTGTCCAAGAGCGGCGTAGAGGTCCTCAATGGATTCAGGATGCACCGAAGTTAGATGTGAGGGCGGAGGTGAGGTGGATGACCATCACCAATCTACCACATCCTAGCGTGTGCATGGTGAAACCTTACGGCAGCGATGTTGCTATTACCCAGGTGCCAACTGTTATCAAGGACACTGAACAAAAATGGCGCGTGGTGTTGCAGCCATTGAGACTTGGAGTTGATGAGAACTGCACATTTTCCTACAGTGCAACGCATAAAAACGGTGTGAATTCTATTCCCGGCCAAGTTGTCTTATGCCGCATCAAACCACGGCTTCCTGTTGCGTACAACAGGAATATAAGCACCTTGATTAACGCAAGGGGTGAGGCTCCGGCAAGTGACATCTCGGTTGGAGGGTATTCTCTTAACCCATCATCGAAAACTATAAATGTTACGATACTTTCTCTCCCCCATTACGGGAAAATATTTCGTATATCTGGCAATAAAAATGTTGCACCTTTGGACGATTCTTCATGTCTTCGACGTGAAGAACTTCCCATTGTATTTCAGATCAACACCAACCCGGCAATTGTGTACCTCAATTACAAGGTCGATGCTGTGCCGCTACTTCCTCTTTTTATGGCGAGTGATCGACGTGTGGTTGACAACTTTACTTTTACTGTGCAAGACAAGTACAACACATCTGAAGTGGGGGTTCAGAATATTACGCTACTGCTTTCAGCCTCCCCTATATGTGCAGATACTGTTGTTTCGCCTGTTTTTTACGACCGCCCCCTGCGCAACGTCATGCTAAATTACACCTTGCCGACAGGAGCAGAGGTAGCGTCTCTGGTGCTGCTTGGAACTCCAAAGAATCCAATCGGAGACCTTTGGTTCAAACGCAACTCCGAGGACGCGGTATCAGCAATTACGCGGTTGGTGCCTGGAGACTACTTTAGCGATACTCGACGCGCGTTAAAGTACGCTGTTCGATCTGGAAACGAAAAATTGGAGCAAAATGAAACGTACACGTTTCAGGTTCGTGTTGCCGGTCGTTCCTGCTTTGGTTCGATCACTTTTGTTATCACACCACACAATACAGAGGCGGAGAATTCGAGTTTACCCGCCATTCATCGCGATGTGGTCCGTATTGATAGCTATACAATGCTTTCTATAAAATGGACCGCCACCAAAATGAATGATATCCCACCCCGCGCCATTGAGATACTGAAGGTGTCAAGCTTTGGGGATACCTACACGGTTTTTTCCTATGCAACTATTGATGCAAACATTGTGGTGGGGAGCACGCTTGGAGTAGGGGGATCGTTTTGTTTTTTGCATGATTGCAGTCGCATTACAAATAAGATAGTTATACCTGGCCAGGTGATTCACCTTTCAGAGTTGTGGAACGGCAATCATTCAGCCAGTGCAGGGAACACAGCGCAGTTTTTTCTAATCTACAAGGCACCTGCCAAGTTCCCGAACAGTTCCTTTGATGTAATGGAGTACAATTTCGTTGATGAGGATGGTGTGAGGTCATCTATCCAACGGTTACAGTTGTACTTCCGTAAGGCTTATCTGCAAGAACGGAGCCTGACGTATACTGTCGAATGTGAAGGACGCGCTTCGTCCCCTCATTATGGTCGTCAGATGAGAAAAGTGACATTCCCGGATGTGTCAGAAGAAGAAGTGATTATGATTGATAAAATTGAGCTTGCCAGCCGGCACTCACCAACCCAGACCCTATTTTTCTACCGCTGCGAAAGGGAAGGAGACAAAATGGTGAGCGGTGAGCTAATGCAGCTTGAAGCACATGGAGGATTTATGGGTTATTGGCTTCAAAAAGAAAACACCGTTTTTGTTTGGACTGCTGCCAGGAATCCGACACTATTCTTACGTGTGCGTATGTTTCGAAGGTCCCTGGGTGGTGCAGTTTTGTACAATATGTCAAGGCGTTACTTTGCTACTGTTCGTCGCAGTAATCAGTCGCCTGTGTCTTGGTTAAGGGAGCAAACCACCGGAGGGGGCAACGTTGTCACGACTACAAAAAAACAGACAGTGATTAACGTAACCGTTAGTGACAAGTATAGGGAAGGCTTTGCATTTAGGGTTCATGAGTCACCGAAATGGGGGAGACTACAATTTCTTGACTGCCGTTTTGCGCGACCGCTTCCCATAGTTGTTCATCGCGGATCGGTGCAGTATGTCCCGTTCACAGCCCTGGACGCTGAGGGTACGGCGACTTTGTCATTCCTCTACCTCAGCGAGGGAAGCGCAGACTGGGTGTATCCCCTCCAGGATAACTTCACACTGCTGATCGATGATGGTGGTGTTGTGTTCTCGGAACCCATTGTTGTGAAAATTGTCGCAGATATGGATAAACAGCTGTGGTTCTCACGGTCTGTTCCTCCAGGCTATGTGCGCACCGCCGCCGTGTCGGTTTTTCTCTTATCTATCTGGTGCACTCTTCTTTTCGCCGCCTTGATGCTGTGGAGAAAAACACGCCGCGCACGCTATATGTTCGTCCCAATGACAGTGACTTCACAGTAAAAACCAAAAGAAAAATAGCGGACCTTGGGTACCGATAAAGGCGTTTGTTTCCATTTCCTTGCGCGCGTTCTTTCTTTTTTCCGCGTTACAAGACTCGTTTGTAGTGAAAGGAATTGACTCTAACGAATTCGCGTTGTCGGCTGAGGCTTTCGCCTTGATTTCGTATTAACTTGAGCTTCAAATCATTATGCGCAATTTGAAATGAAAACGAGGCTTCTTGGTGACGCGTCATGTGCCCTTCTGTCAGGTGGCAGTGGCGGGTGAAGAGCAGTAGGATGTGGGAATTGCCGCGGTTCCCGGAGTGGTCTGTGGCGAGGGTCGAAGCTAGGCATCTATAAGGGATATATGTGCATTGTTACGGCTTGTTTTTGAGTGATTTTTCCCCCCTTCAACCTCTCGCGCTCATTTCTTTTTCTTTGCACACTTTGTGTTGGGGATGAAGAAGAACACTTTGTGCCAAAAAATATCCTCACATATGTGATGGCTTTTGTTCGGTTTTGTCTCATCTCTCTCTCTCGCACACACACTCACAAACGCCTACGTAAAACCGACAAGAATACTGGGGCTTGCATTTACAATATGCAACGACTTTTCTCCTCACGCCTGGGTAGCAAATACACAAAAAAGAGGACCAACAACGAATAACTTCAAGCCCAAAGGATGAAGAGGAACAATGCCACAAACCAAAGCATTTGGAGCGTTTGGGGCCTTCATCACCACTCTTTTCATGGGCTTCGCGATTGTGGCTGGAGCACGTGCGCTTAGCCTCATTCCCCAGCTATATGTTGGACTGCTACAAGTACGTCGCTGGGGATGAGGGCACCGATCCGAAAAACGAGAAATTCTGGGAAACTGTGCTTACGTTTTACACGGTTGTTACCATGGTGACTCAGACTATTTTTGAACCGGTGAACCTCACGACCTTTTGCTGCCGATTGTCGCTTCGATTTCGCTTGCTGGCGTCTGGCGTGCTGATGCTTCTGGAGTTGCTCGTTATATTGCTGCTGCCCACATCGTCTGGGGTATCCGAGGAAGGCGCCATGGCTGCGGTGCTGCTGATGGCGTTTGTGGGTGGTATTGGACGAGCATTTTATGAAAACACTGGGTACGCACTGTTTGGACCTTGCCCGCCGATCATGGTGTCAGGATTTGTTATTGGTGCAGCGATTTGCGGCGCTCTCACGTCCCTTCTGCAGATCATAATCAAGGCCTCCATGACGGATGATTTCGAATCGGTGAAAATTCAGTCATACATTTATTTCAGTGTTGCCCTTGGAATTATTGCCGTGACAATGATCCTGATATGGATTCTTTCGAAGCTTCCTTTTGCTCAGAAGTACGTGGCTGAGTTCCGCTCAAGGAATGGCTTTTTTACCTCGATCTACCAGAAGCGTCGTCCAACTGTGTCGACAGATTCTGTCAGTGCCGAAGATCCGTGCGGTGAGATCGCGAAAATGGAGAGTGACGAACCTGTCGAAAACTCACAGGTGGTTGAGCCTGTAGAGCTCACAACAGCAGAATTGCTCCAGTCAGCAAAACTGTGGCCAATCATCAAGAAGATTTACCCTATGCAGTTCTCATGTTTCTTTACGTACTTTTGTACGTTTCTTCTCTTCCCTGGTGTGATGCTGGCAGTGGACCCTGATGATGATTGGTATGGAACCATTGTCATGGCGGTATTCAATGCTGCCGACCTCATGGGACGATTGATTTGCTTGATCAAGTGCTTGTGGCCGCCGCGCAAATGGGTTGTTATTGGTACAATCTCGCGTATTCTTCTGTTTCCGCTTTTGCTGCTCTGTGCGACGGGCCATATACCCTCGTATGGAGCTGCCTACGTGATAACAGCGGCGACGGGAATTACCAACGGCTATTTCGCCACAATTTCTATCACGTATGCACCGGAAACCGAGGGCCTTGCCAATGAAGGAGAGAGGGCTATTGCTAGCCAAGCCACCGGAGTTTGCCTCCTGTTTGGTGTTTCTACGGGGTCGCTGTTACAGTTGGCGATCGCCCTCAAACTGTAGGTACTTTGAATAAGGCGAAGACATATTTATACCTCACCCACCTAACGTCGATTTTTTTTTGTTTGTATTTTTTTCTTCGATGTTTTCTGTCAAACTGCTGCTGTTTTGTAAAAGTATAATATGAATGGTAAAAAGTGATGGACTCACGAAAAAGGATGAAAACGCATTGTGATCGGAACCGGGGACAACATTATTCAGGAGAGCTAGATTTGAAATTTACTGCTTTCGTTTAAAATGTCTTACGAGAGAAAGAAAGAAGAACAGCGTTGCAATGACAACAAAACGGATTTTCAACAAAACAAAGGTTTTACTTGCGGTTCCTTTTTTTAATGGTAGAAATTTAAAACTGCAAGGGGAAAATATGGTGCTTGTAGCAGTGTTATTTTCTCTTTTTTTTGTTTTGAGGGCGGGGAGCAGATGCAAAGCTGCCCCGCGACGGAAAGTCTCTTGAAGCGACCGGGACTATAAACAATAACAATGAGCAACAAAAAGATAAAAAATTCATTTTGTACCCTTTTTTGTCCAAGCTCAGGGGAAGCGGCATTGCTTTTACCCGTCTATTTGCACTGATGGTATGCCATGGCCGCTATTAGCTGAAGCGAGTGCTGTATGAGTAAGAGGCGAGAACAAAAGCCTTCTGCACCCCCTCCCACTTGGCGTCAAAAAAATCAGAAGCAATGCTTTGGACGTCAAACGCAAGACGCCTGAGCAAGTCAATATTAGTGGAAAAAAGCTATTTATGTTGTTGTCTGTCTTGTGACAGGCGGACAGTGACGTACATGAATGTAAATAAATATATGGGGATTTTTTTTCTCTATCTTTAATTTGTCAAATACTCCGTTGATCGTTTTCCCCCCACATACGATGGGTGTAGAAGAAGCGTATCGAGTATCACCTCCCGGTGCTTTATGTTTGTTGTCTAGTTTCAGAGAAAAGGAACAGACACCAAGACAAGTCCCGGGGCCTGTTTGAGTTATTGTGATTCCCCACCTTAATGTCTTCATATTGTTCATCTGAGAAGGCAAGAGGTGAACTTTCAGACACACTCTATCGTGGGTAATGTTTGTGTGGAGAATATATTTAAAACGGAGTATTACGATATTGAGAAATGAAGATTGTTATGAATCAGCGGAAATGGGGCTATTCCGTTGTACTTTTCTCACCCATCATTTGAGAGGAATAATGTTCTGGGAAAACGATCAAGGGGGAAAAAAGAAAATTAGAAGTCGGACGTATTTTTAGAAGCAAGGAATTTTTTGTTTATTTCTGGAGTTGACACCCAGACAAGCTAAGTCAAACATATTTCTTTCTGTTTATCCTTGTTTCTGTGCGTGCGTGTCTGTTCAAGACCTATGTTTATTGGGCGAGGCGAAAAACCTCTCTGCGCTTTGCATTATAGTCTCCTTTTCTCTGTGTTCTTTGCTTCAAGGTGAGGGTGCCCTTTTACAAGGTTTCCACCATTAATCGAGTACATAGGGGTGATCGCGGCTTCGTGTCGGCCCATTCTTCCTTGCGAAATGTGGCTCGTGCGCAGATGGAATCAAATGTTACTTGCTAGGATTAGTAACGACGTTGAATGTGCCCGCCCTTTGCTCTTTCGAGCCTCGCGGCAGCGTGGCTATAATGACTATACAGAAGTGAATGAAAAGGCCGACTGTATCCTTCAAGGCATCGGATAAATGCCATCGTTGACTGGGGAAGCGTCTTGAGACGCAATGTGACAGTGCTGAATTTTTTACTTTTTTTTATCGGGGTAATGGGAGAGAGGAGGAAGGGCAATATATATTCATATATTATATATGGTGTGGGCTTGTGTGCCTGTTCTGGTGAGGGTTTCGTATGCTTCGTTTTTCCTCGTGTTGTGGAATAATAGTGAAGTCATAGCTGGAACTCCAGCTCCCATAGCAACTCTAAAAATGCCGAGTTCGAAATTTCCCAAGTACACGTGGGAAGAAATTCGGAAACACAACAAAGACACAGATTGCTGGGTGGTGCTGTACGATCGTGTTTTGGACGTTACAAAGTTTTTAAACGAGCATCCTGGTGGACTTGATCCAATAAATGATCTTGGTGGCTACGACGTCACCAATTCGTTTGAGACTATCGGACACTCCTCAGCCGCGCTGGCCCGCTCAAAAGAATTCATTGTGGGTGACTTGGACAAGGACTCAATCCCACCACAAGTTGTTCGGAAGGAGGTGAAGAATAAAGTTCCACTGACACAGTACCAGGCAGGTGGAGAAATGATTTCACTACAATACATACTGGGAGGTGTCATTGCGCTTTTGCTTCTTCTTTACTACCTGATGGCGGCTTAAAGGGGTTGTATGAGAGCTGTGGAAGGAGGAAATCATAGCATCGTCCAGGTATCAAAACCATCATGGATAGAACAATGAACAAAGGAGCATACACACACACAAAAAAAAAAGAAAACAAACAATGCGTAGGTAAAAGGGACAAAATAACTCCCAGGGGAAAGGGAGGAGGCGTTTGTTTTCTATCTCATTGGCCGTTGTCATAAAAAAAATAGGTTGCTGCTTCTCTCACATCTTGCAACAAGCACCATGGCCTTGCCTCGAATTTGATCAGAAATGTCCATTTCATGCTCTTTGCAGTAATGACCTCACTGAGACGCTCCTAAGTAGCACGAATACGCATGCATGTGCACCTATTCTAGACAAGGGGAAGTGAAAACTGTCCTTTTACCTTTTACGGCCGCAAGCGCGCTTCTTTTGGGAGTGAGGGTTTGCCCTTAATTTGTTATTATTATTGTTATTGTCTGTAGGTCGTCTGTTCGGCTTTTGCCTCCTCCAATGAACATTAGACACCTGCGAAAAGAAATGAGACGCCGTTGTGGATATGGAAGGTGACAGTTGTCGATTACTGGTGGTGGAAGAAGGGATGTATGCTATGTCGTGAATGCATTTGCTTGTATTCTTCTTGTGTCGGTTTTACTCTGTTTGCGGCTAGCACGGGTGTTGCCCCTTTCTTCTTGCCGTGGAATGCGAATGCGGTATTGTGTTGCATAGTTGCGTTACTCATTGACTGAGGAAAGAAATGAAGATTGGAAAGGGTGCTGTATTTCATCAATGCCATGACATCAACAGGCGGGGAAGACCTTTTGCAAAGGCTTTATGCGAGCGAATACTGCCACGTATAGGAAGGAAGGGCGATCAATGTTGCTGAAGGCTAAAAACACGGGATAAATACTTACACCGATGCATCTACACGTCATACATCCCTCATGTGACTTTCCTGCACTTCTGCAGGAAATGAAATACATCGCCAGCGGAAGAATAGGAAACCAGTAATGAAGCCTGACTCCAACAGGAAATGGGCAGAAAGTGGGCAACAGAAAAATGATGTGGTTGCGCATGCCGCTGGCCTACGCCACAACATCTGCTGATTATTGCATAAGGGGAGTCTCAACAAGGATGATATAATACTGATATCGCTCCGATAATGATGGGAGGAGGACCAACCATGCGCGCGCTTTGGAGAAAGAAAAAGGCTTGAACGAAGGCTCTCGTTCCTGCACTTCTTCACAGCTTGCTTGATGAGATCTGTGTCCTGGTGAACCGTCTCGTTCTGATGGTGCCATCGCCCAGTCATTGGTATTGTGCATGGGGCACGTGTCATGATTGCGGAACAAAGGAAAAAAGTGCCGCTGTAAAAGGTGTGGAAGAAAGTTTTTTATCGTGGTCGAAAATCGCCTGCATGCTCGGAAAACAAGAGTGGAGAACCGCTTGCCATGTGCTTGTGCCATGGACCGTTGTACCTCTTCTGGGCCGCTTGCGTGTCGGCGGCGTCAAATAGAGGCGTCATCCTGGGCGTCATGGGTACTGCTTTTCTCAGAGATTCACGGCCCCGTTTATGCTGTAACAGGAGTACATTTACCGTAGAAGTTGAGAATGAATTTGAAGTGTCCCTCTCACTCTCTGTATGTGTATGTGCGTGTGTGGTAATTTCATGTCCCTATTGAAAAGACCTCGGCGAGTACTGGACGCAATACAGCGATACTTCAGGGTGTTAATTCGTACGCTTTGGTAGTGTCCAAACTGGTATTATTGTCAAGAGCGATACACTCTATGCTGAATCAGCTTTCAAGGGTGTGTATTTTGGTCGAACTGTGCTCCCATCACCAAAATCCTTTTGCTACTCCTGCTGATAATTTCCGGATTCATGAATGGAGAGGTGAAGGAGGAGGGATGTTGGTGGGTTTATTAGAGAGAGGCGTTGAAATTGGGACGGCGGTTCCAACGTTGTATGGACGAATAAAATGCTCTCATGCTTTGGGGGATTTTCGGGGTTGGGAAGTGACCGTTTGTGTGGTCGTTTCTTAAACCCGTGTTTTCCTATTCCCATTGCCCAACACGAGGATTGGCGTGAGCGGGGAGAGAGAGGAAGGGAGGGTGCACGCTGACAGGAACACGGCGTGCCAGCGGGGGGATAACATGACTGCGCTGGAGGAAAACCTGCGCGGCGGCGCTTTTTCTGTCGCCAGAAAGTGGAAACACCGGCAAAGGAAGGAAAGCAAAAAAAAAACAATCACGTATTCAATGATATAAAGATCGCATTTTTGGGATTGTCGGTGATAAACCCAAAAACAAAGAGAATGACTCCTCAAACTCAGGTGTTTGAGGAGTAAAAATGGGGATAGTGACCCTGACCCGTGTCCTTTTTTGTTCTCCTTTTCTAAAAGATAAAAGGAAGGGGGATGCACTTCACCTTCGCTTTCTGTATGTTCTCTTAAGCGGTGACCCCTGCAACCGTCTGCGGTAAGGGGCAGCGAGGTTCAATTTCACATGCACAGAAGCGTATATGCATATATGAGGGATGAAGGAGGGAGACACACCCACATTCACTTGCCACTGACATGTTTCTCTTAAACTTTAACGTTGTCTCATTCTTCTTAAAAGGAGAATAAGGAAAGGATCAGGCCTGCCGGATGAGGGCGGATAGGGACGACGTGGCTCCCGTGGCGCCCGCTGAAAGGAGTGATTTGGTCGTGTGCTCCCTACACCACAGCCGTCGCTTGGCAAAGTTTTGTCTTCGTAAACCAGTGTACAATGCTGACCGTGTTATGGTGGGCTACACTTACCAGTGCAGGGAAGGAATGCAGTGTACAAGCTCAGTGCCTAGGAGCTCTGCCTTCAGTCAGCGTCAGAATAGTTTAGCTGTTGAGGGTCGGAGTGACTCTTCCCTACAAGTGGAGATGACGACAGGGGCACCAACGAACACAAGAACAACAGCGGCAGACACTGCTACAACACCCGATGGAGATGCTCTTCAACAGCAGCAGCAGCCGAGGACTACGGCTGCGCGAGGCCCCAATCGGTACTACGATCTCACCAGTCAACGCGGCACAGGTGCAGCAGGGACGAAGAAGGTGTGCTGGAACTGCGGTATGGAGGGACACGAAAAACCAGAATGCCCCAATGCACTATGTAAAGTATGCCACACCACACGCAGCCATCATCATCTCTGCCAGGAGCCGCGTTCTTCGCCCTTTGTGATCTTGTCCCCAGCTCTTCCTTTATCGGAAGATATGACGTCTGTGCAGTGCGTTTCGTGCCTTTCAATGGGCCATTTTGACTGCTCTACTGTGACAGGATCACTAACCACTTCTTGTTGCTTCTGCGGAGAGATGGGGCACAACGCGTATGACTGCCGCAGACGAAAAGACCATGCGCCGGACCCTTGGGTAAACCGAATGCTGCATTCTGAGCGTGGTCCTACCTACGGGAGACACTACAATACTCATGCCGGAGTGCCTTCATACCCCGCAGCTGGAAGTGTTTCTATCGGTTATGATCAACCCTGTGCAAGGAGAGGAAATAGCGACGTGACACGTGGTGACTATCGTCACACCCGCACAAGGGAGAATGATGGCTACGGAGTGGGCAGCAGTCCCAGTGGGTACTACGCGACGAACTCCCGCAGTTACACTGATAGGGAGCCATACCAAACGTATAACAGAAACAAGCATGATAATACATACAACGCGGAGGCGGATCGTTACTTGAGGCGCAGAGATAAGCGTCCTCGTCGGGATGGTGAAGAAATGCCATATCACCAATACAGAGGGTATTCTAATCAATACCGCAACGGTCACGCCTGGGAGGCGGAGGGAAACCGCAGGGGTGGTGAGAGACAGCGGATGCCACAATTACGTCACCAGCAGGAGCAGCAGCACCAGCAGCAGCAGCAGCGCCCACCGCAAGAACGTCGCAGAACTCCGCGGAGGAGGGATAGTGATGACGACTACGACAACGTGTTTTAAGGATGAGAGTGTGTGTATGGGTGCGTGTGCTCTGCTTTCACCATTTGGTAAGGGAAGAAGAGGCCTCTAACCGGGGATAAGAATGTGAGGTGTGGTGGTGATGGCTGTGGCTGTACGTACAGAGAGAGTTCAGGCCGTCATTGCCGTTTCTTCTGACTCTTGTGGTGCCAGTAACGCATTGCTCTTCTTTTTTTTTTTGCAGTTTTTCTCGCTATTCATACGCAAATAGTGTAGGATGAGCCAAACGAAAAGCAGCTTTGCTGGGGAGCTGTTGGAGAAGTTTTTTTGTGACGCATACCTCTTCGACCACGCTAACGCGTTGTTCCGGGAGAAGGTATCGCCCAAAGACACCTCTGCACTTACAACACCCCCCATCATCACCTGCGCTAGTTTTCTACGCTTTACAAACAACACTGTTGATCAGGAGAATATTACCTTCCTCTGCGAGGCAGCCGCATCGAGCCCTCTTGTAGAAGCTGTGAAGGACGAGGGGGGCGCGTGGTGCCTGCGGCGCCGTCGCTTCCTTGATCCAAAAAACGATCCCGCTTTACGAAGCGTTGTCGTGTGGCCCATACACCGCGCTTCTACACCCGAAGAAGTGGCGAACTTCTTCCAGTCTTACGGAAAGGTAGAGTGTGCCAGGGTTATGCTGCGCCCGCAGGGTGATGCACAAACGTATGCCTCATTTGTGGTGTGCTTTGCCACTGTGAAAGAGGCTGAGGCGTGTGCGAAGGCCCGCGTTTCTTTTGGCAAAGCCCCTTCGGTGTTGGCGCAGCATTTTCTTCCCTCGCGCGTGCACGTGACACTTTTTAACGATCACATTACCAAGGCGGAGCAGCGAAACCGCTCCAAAGAGGAGACGCAACTGCAGCACAATGTCGTGAAGGCGCAGAAGGCGTTAGCAGAGCTGCAGGACAAGGGTGTAAAGCGGTTTCTGCGTAATGGCGTGACGCTGAAAGCTGAGGGCGTTCCTCCTGGGGTGACGTGGCAGACGCTAAAGATGAAACTAGGGAATCTCAGCATCACGAACCCCGCACTGCGGAAGGGAATCACACTCCTGAAGGTGGAGGAGCCGGACGTGGCGTCGCCGTCTGTGCCGCGACGTGCGTTCGTTATTTGCCGCGATGAGGCCACGGCTCGTGAGTTGCGCGCGTCCTTTAACTTGGCTGACGGTGACTTTGGAAGGGAGCTTCGGGCGGTGTGCCCGACACTGCTCCCGCTGACGGATACAGAGGAACAGTACGCAAGGCAGCACTTCCCGGAGTGGTGCGAGCGTCGTGTAGAGGCAAAGCAGGCCGATAATCGAAAGCGTATGCGCCAAAACTGATTAAAGCGAAACTGATGTGCGTGTGTGTCTTGTATATACGGTGTAAAGGGAAGTGAAAAAAAAACCGAAATGAGGAAGAAAATACAAAGAGTACAGGCCCCAGTCTGTTTTCCTTCGTAAAACACCCAGATACATACCCACAAAGAAAACGGTTTTTTTTTTCTCTCTCTCTCCCCCTCTGTGAGCATGTGTGTGGACCCAGTGGGGGTTCGTGATGCTGTTGTTGCTGGTTCTCTCTCTGATCTTCTCTTTTGACGAAAATGCTAACTTGCCTTTCTTTC